TCTTCTTTTTACTGCCCCCCCCCGAGTCGTAGAAATATTCTGTTATCCTTCTTTCCCTAAACCTGGTAAGCTCGCATTGATGTGGGTTATTACTGTCCTATCAGTGTTTTCAGTAAGTCCTTTGAGCATATCCTGGTTGCCCAGCTTCACAACTTCATTGCTGTTCACTGCTTGTTGTTAAGTACTCAAGCTGGATTTCGTCCACATCTCGCCATCATGAATCAACTTCTGCAGTTACCTGACTTTCTTACCAATAATTTTAACTCTCGTAACCTCTCTTGTATGTTGCTCTTGGATTTTCATCATGCATTTGACTCAGTGTGGCATCGTGGTTTACTCTACAAGTTGCATCTCTTCCACTTCCCAGTTCCCTATATTCGTCCTACCTCTTCTTTCCTTTGTGGTTGGTGGGCTGTTCTCTCTATTGATGGGATTTTGTTTTGTTTCTTCACTCTCTACGTTGGTGTTCTCCAAGGATTGGTGCTCTCCCCTCTTTTTGTACATTCTCTATGTTGCCGATTTGGCTCAGCCTCGATTTATTGTTCAGTTGTACCAGTATGCTGATGATGCTGATCTGGTTGCCCACTGTCCAATTACGTCTAATCTGAATAAGGTTCTCCAGTTTGCAGTTAATTCATTTTTGGTTTGGTGTCATTGCTAGCATCTTACACTCAATGCATCCAAAACGCATGGTATTATTTTTGATACTACAAGCCGATAATTCCGCCCGTGCCGTGATCCGTCCTTATTAAATCTCTTTGAGAAAGAAAGAACCTGATAACATAGCGAGTACGAAGCTGGTGCAGGTGGAACAGGATATGTGGAAGTTCAGACCGTCATACCCCCCCCCCCACCTTGTTTGGCTAGGCAACTTAACATTGAAAGCAAGTCAGAGAGAATGGTGTTCCAAAATTTGGAGACGATAGTAGAAAGCTGGAAAAGTGGAAATCCAGTTGGCAGCATGGCTATATGTCAGACAGGGTCGAATGTAGGTCCTATACGTGTACAGTAAATGAGGCAGATTTAAGCTCTAAAAGATTCCTGTGAGAGATAGGAGCTGATTAAAATGGCGAGAGACGTTGTCAGAGAGAGTATGGTTTTCACTGAGATGTTCATCAAAGACGAAACCGGGATATGTCACAAAGGGAGAAAGTTGGATATAATCAGCAAGTTGAGTATGCACTTTGGTGGCAAGCACCTTTCGAACCTGTATGTTATGTTACTTTCGCCAGATGATCCCAATAATGTTGAAGTACCTATCCATGTTGCATCTTCCACCTTCTATCTATCCAGTTAACTGATGCCCATGGACTTAAAGGTTTGAATTTTCCTGTCTGACTCGTCACTACATTTAGACATTACAGTGCTCGTCTATCCGTTCAAGTTTTCTTCTTTTTTTTTTTACTGCCAGTGTTTATGTAGTTACACTTCGATTATCTCATTCTCCCTGTACCCACCATTTCGTTTTCCTATTCTTTACTTTCTTTCTCACTAGTGCTCTCTCTGCTTGCCCTCTCACTTTTACCCATCTTCTCCGTCTTTTATTCTTCCCACCTATTTCTAGTTTTCATTGCTTGGCCAACGAGAGGGTGTAACCCTGTAACGGCTCACCAGTCCCTCCTCAGGCTGGAATGAAAGATCATGTGCTTATGAATCTCAAAAAGGCGAAACTGCAGTCCACAGAAGATGGTTTGGCCAATCAAATAATGCATTAGGCCTCTGCGTCATAGATTATTTTTTCAAATTTCACCACTGGTGAAAAAGAGAAGAAATCTTTAACTTATGTATACAATCATTAAACGCCTGGTCCGCTTACGCCAGTTGGAAATTGTTTCGGGTCCATACCGATCTGATATAGTTTTGCGGAATGATTGAGACGAGGTATTAGAATTACTAACTAACACCTCGTCTCAATCATTCTGCAAATCTTGGTTCGCCGTATAGTATCGAATAATGAATTTGACGAAATGTCGTAACATTGTTAATTTAGGTTAATATATTGTGAAGTAAAACGGATTCAAAATCCCATAGATAATAATAATTTCCCAACACTCAGGGTCTAAATAATAATAATTTCCCAACACTCAGGGTCTAGATAATAATAATTTCCCAACACTCAGGATCTAGATAATAATAATTTCCCAACACTCAGGATCTAAATAATAATAATTTCCCAACACTCAGGGTCTAGATAATAATAATTTCCCAACACTCAGGGTCTAGATAATAATAATTTCCCAACACCCAGGATCTAGATAATAATAATTTCCCAACACTCAGGGTCTAGATAATAATAATTTCCAAACACTCAGGATCTAGATAATAATAATAATTTCCCAACACTCAGGATCTAGATAATAATAATTTCCCAACACTCAGGATCTAGATAATAATAATAATTCCCCAACACCCAGGATCTATCGGACAGTTCTCACTAAAAATAGAGAAACGTCTTGCAATTGTACTTTATCAATATCCCTTCTTAGTAATACACAAAAAATGACAAAAGTTGGCAATGTTATTAATCGGTTTAGACGCTTCATGCCGGGGCTGGTATGGCCAGGTGGTTAGGGCACTCGACTCGCAAACTGAGGGTCGCAGGTTTGAATCTCTCTTCCCCCAAACATGCTCGCCCTTTCAGCCGTGGTGGAGTTATAATGTGACGGTCAATCCCACTACGCTTGTTGGTGAAAGAGTAGCCCAAGAGTTGATGGTGGGTGGTATGATGTACAGATATACACTGCTACATTAAGAACGGTTATCACAGATAGCTCTCGTGTGGCTTTGCGCGAAGTTCAAAACAAACAAACAAATACTTGGGGCCAAAGGCCATCTTCGAAACGTAAATAAAACAACGCTATTTAACAATGATTGGTTATAGTATTGCTTGAACAGGGGAGTCAAACCAAAACCAAAATTCATATTCCAAAAGTGTTAGGGTTTCAGAACTTTCTCTTCTTTACGCCCCCCAGTGGCATGTCTGCGGACTTACAACGCTAGAATCCGGGTTTCGATACCTGTGGTGGGCAAAGCACAGATAGCCCATTGTGTAGCTTTGTGCTTACTTACAAACAAACAAACAAATTCTTCTTTACCATATTACTTTGTAAGTATACGGGTGTTATTTTCTAAAGTAATATAGTAGATTAAATCATACATTCATCCGCCAAAAAAACTTTTCTGTCGAGAGTAAGTTTTCTGGCATATATACCACTGATTTATACCAACTTCCCTCTTAACCATTACAAAAACTTCTCGCACATTCACATTTATATCCATCTACCATTCTTCCTATAAGTACAAAGATAGCCTGCATATACCTGTATGTAAAACCAAGAGTTCTTTGTACTAGAATCAAAAGTGTTCACATATATCTGTCGTCTATACAAACATCTCCCTCTCAAGTTATAAAATGGCTTGCAAATACTTGACTACTGCCAAAAATGTCTCCCTATAATGAAAACAAATACACACGTGTATCTATAGCATACTCATCTCTACTTCCAATATCATAACTATATGTATATGTCAATGGACAATCCAACAATCTTTCACACCAAATAAATTTATTTGCACAATTTAAATCTACTCATCTTCTTCCTCCACGAATACAATAACAAAATTCTTCTACTAATTATCTTTCCTCTCAGATATACAATAACAAGAATATTTTCACCCATGAATACAAAAATAAGTTCCATAAAACCATTTTCTACCCAACGTTGTTCTCGGGCAAACGAACCTAAACATTAACTCATTAGCTATTGTTAGAGACGCTCGTATTACAGTCTACAATGTTAAAGTTGGAAGGTTATATATACTAACTTGTGATATGTTGAGAAACGTCATTCACCAACCCTAACCAATAATACAACTACAACTTATATGTACCCGTGATCTACTCACCAACCTTAAATACTGATATAACAACTTACATGTACCCGTCATATTCTCACAAACACTACTTACTAATAAAGCAACAACTTACATGTACCCGTGATTTACTCACCAACATTAGCTACTAATACACCAACTTACATGCATTCGTGATGTACTCACAAACCCCAGCTACTAATATAACAACTTACATGCATTCGTGATGTACTCACAAACTCCAGCTACTAATATAACAACAACTTACATGTACCCGTCATCTTCTCACAAACACTACTTAGTAATACAATAACAAGTTCCATGTACCCTTAATCTACTCTAAACACTACTTACTAATAAAGCAACAACTTACATGTACCCGTCATCTTCTCACAAACGCTACTTACTAATAAAGCAACAACATATGTACCCGTCATCTTCTTACAAACACTACTTAATAATAAAGCAACAACTTACATGTACCCGTCATCTTCTTACAAACACTACTTAATAATAAAGCAACAACTTACATGTACCCATGGTTTAGATGTAGAGAAGACGTTGCTCGGTAGTGAGGAATACTGTCTTCGTTCCTCACGCAACACCGACAACACAGTAGATCTGATGCAGCTTGGCGCAATTCTCTGTTTAACATCAACAGCAAGGTTGGGTTTACAAATGCATGCACGAAAGCTACGTGTAGGCTGACCTGATACGTTAAAGAGGCCGTGTCCAGTCCTGGCTGGGCGAGTGTAATAGCGAAGAGAGGACCCCAGAAGATAACGTAAGCCACGAGGAGGACAACAAACATTTTCACACGATGGAGCCCTTCACGTTCCAGCCTGTGTATATAATTCTGTATGTGTTGGTGTTCTCCCGTCTCACGCTCTGACTGCACTGAGATCATAGTGGTCACCAGACTCGCTACTCTGATGGCCTCGAGATTGGACCTGGTTAGGTCCCGATGCATCTTCCGCAGATGCACAGCGGTCAGTAAAATACAGAGCATGTTGACTGACACCCATAGTACGTTCAGGACATAGTGGCGAACGGGTCCATACACCATGGGACAAACTTCTCCTTGTCCTGACTCTCGGCCACCTGAGAGGGCGCCACTGAGGAATGTGGGGCCGAGGTTAATAGTGATACTGGCAAACCAGATGATGAAGAATCCGAAAGCTATACATTGGCGACTATCTAGAGGAATTCCACGAGATTCTACGTTGTTTTGATTGTTCTCCAACAAAGGCTGGCTTAGGTCAGGAACCAGGGGTGCATCATTGATGACAGATGTCAAGAGATTGACTGTAGACACAGTGACCAATAACAAAAAGGCTGTCTCTAGCACTGAACATTTAGATAAGCTTTGGCACATCATAACGCTGACAGCTAAAGGGACCAGCAGGCTTGCCCGAGCACAGTCTACCAGACCTTGGTGGAACAACAACCCTTGGGACCACCTGGAATGATAAATATTAATTTTTAAACACTACTATTCTATATTCTATTCAGCTTCAATAAATAACGTGGAAGCTATAATACTATCCAATAATTTCTCCAATAACCAATGTTTCTACTCATTTGCTTAGAATAAATTTCAAACTGTAGGATCTGAATTTATTATGGACATGTTTCTTTCTGCCTTGATTCAAGGTTCATAGGGTAGCAACATATTTATACACGTTGAATAAAAATAAAATTAAAAGTCATATAACAATACAATAATCTTGATTGATCAGGAATGTACTAATTGTGTCAGTGTTAACTGATTTTAGGACAAAATCCAAAAATTAAAAAGAAACCGAACACAACTAAAACACTGATTATTAGAAACATTTCAGAACTGTACACCTACATTCTTGAAAGATATAATCATTGTAGATTGAAATATAATCCATTTTTTTCTGAGTTTGAGAGAAATAGGGAAATTTATAGAAAAAGTTAACTACTATTAACAATACTTGGGAGTTGGGGCTTTAACGAAAAGTCCATTTGAAAAAAAAAGGGGGTTGGACATTCTAATATAATTTCTCCGATTTAACAGAAATGAATAACTTACACCTTGAACATAAAAACTTACAAAATGCGAATATTAAATTCAAAATCAATAAATATTTTTTATAAAAATAATATATAAACCACACAGTGATTCATTAGGTATTATAACATTATATCCAAATAATTAAATACAAAACAATTAGTAAAAAATACCTTCTCAAAATTCTTTGAAATGCAAAAATTTTAAAGTAGCATGGACAGACATTTCAATAACTACAAAAATATGCAAAGCCAGATTTCTTGAAAACTTTATACATTTTAAAAATAATTTTAGTTATAAAATCCACATTTTACTTTTTTTCTATTGTTTTGACTAATTTTGCCCCATAATTATTTTAATCATAAATAATACTTTAATATTTCATGGTGTCACTTTTATATAACATTGGCACTTTTAATCTACGTTATCGCTTTTGCAATATAAAAAGCTTTTTTTAAAACTAAGAAATTGAGTTTTAAAACGATTAGATTCACCTTCCTAAAAGATACACCTCAATTCAAAACGAATTCAGGCTAATTGCTTATGCTAGGTAATTAATGGAAAAGCTTTTAAAAAGTAGAGTAGCATGTAATAACTTCTGTACATAGTGAGTGATAAATTAATTATAATAGTGCTCCTTCCTATAGGAAAAAGAATAACAACACCGTGAAAAGTAATTGATAGGACTAATGATAACTCTTTATTGAAAACGAGATTTTTGATTAAAACTATTAAGTAAATGATTAAATATTTTTGATTTATGGCTTACTTCTTACTGATTTAGATGAACCTTAGTTGATCTAGTGATTAGTATGGTCGGCTGTGGGTCCAATGTTCGAGACGCGATATACCTCTGAACACGCTCCACACTTCAGCTGTAACAGCGTTATCATCGTAACAGTTAATGACGTTATTCCCTTAAGAGTAAACGTGTAAGCAGTGAGTGCTGCTACTTGGTTGTTTTCTTCTTTTCATCTGTTCTTAATTATGATGGTTTGATGTGGTTGATTTGTCTTATAACGTGCTGTTCAGGTCGAAAATACCTAATACATTAGCCCAACTAATGTACAACAGAGTTCGAAATTGGCCCGGCATGGCCAGGTGGTTAGGGTACTTGACTCGCAATCTGAGACTCGCGGGTTAGAATCCCCGTCCCAACAAACATTCTCGCCCTTTCAGCCGTGGGAAGTTATAAAGTGACGAACAATCCCACTATTCGTTGGTAAAAGAGTAGCCTAAGAGTTGGCGGTGGGTGATGATGACTAGCGGCCTTACCTCTAGTCTTTTACTGCTAAATTAGGGACGTTTAACGCAGATAGCCCTCGTGTGGCTTTTCGCGAAATTCAAACCAAAACAAATTCGAACTAATGAATTAATATAAACGTTAAGTCATCATAGAAAATATAATTTTTAATTTTTTAAATCATATTAGCTGTAGCTTATTAATTATCCATCCCATATTTCCAAGTGGTAAAAATATTAGTGTTTTTGATTTTCCTATACACCAATAATAAGGATTGCACGTGTTATTTATTTTACCAATAAATTTAGTAGTCTATTATTAATAAATAACTCTTTAAAACAATTTACCCATACGGAAGCGGATCCAGGATTTTCAAAAAGGAGGGGTATCCAAATAAATGAATATTGGAGAGTCTGCGAGGGGGCTTGACCCCTACTAAGAACCAGAAGACATTTTAAAATTTGAAATCTCTCTAAATCCGTTTCTTGACACTTTCCATTGATTTTCGCCGGTCAGTCCCATTGCCAACTTTGCAATGAGAAATCCTGTTACCAGTACTTTCTTCTGCCTACAAGAACCTCCTTTACCTCTTTTGCGAAGCGGACAGTTAGAATAAGAATCTTTATGTAGCTCCAGAAATCAAGTTACATTAAGTGTTGCTTACTGATGGACCAGACAGAAGGATGGATTGTTTGACAATCATGCTGATGAAAGAAGCTAATTCAAAGACCTGTGGTAGGTCTTAAGTGGATAGTAATATATATGAAGAACAATTCTTTAAGGCCATCTTCAACGTTTTACAGATGATCCAGACCCCCCTTTCCATTCAGGAATACGAGAATAATCGATCCCAGAAAACAATTGAATACATTTCTAGCACTTGCATCTTTATTCTTCTCTTTATCTCTATTTAACGTTTTACTATTTATTTTGATTTTGTTTCCTGCATTTGGAAATGTAGAGGGTTTGGCCCCCTTGAGATCCTCTCCCCTGAAACAGCTTCAGCTATAAAGCTAACTAACTTGTTGGATTTATATGTAATTGACTGAGTGTGTTATAGGGCGAAAAATCAACATAAGTAATTTCCTAACTTTCGAAGGAATGTTTTTATTTTAAAGTGAAAATCCACCAGTGGCTCAGCGGAACGTTTGCGAACGTATAACGCTAAAAACCGGGTTTCGATACTCGTGGTGGGCACAGAACAGATAGTCCCTTGTGTAGCTTTGTGCTTAATAACAAACTAATAAGCAAATTAAAGTGAAAAATATAAGCTGGTCCACGACATAAATGCTGGAGATCAATATAAAAATACATTGTACACTGATACTTGTTTTGTCTAGATGAAATATTTTTTTGCCTTTTATTGAAACTTTATTTTTCATACGGTTCTATAATGTCTGGATTAAATCAGTATGACTTCTAATTGACTTGTTCTGTAACTAATCTGTAATTTTGTAATCATTTATAATTTTGGCAGTAACATAAGAAAAACATGTTTTATTAAGTTAATTATAATATCATTAACGTTATCAACTTAAAAACTTAAACTTTAAAAGCTGTACCTCTTTTCACAAGTAGACTTGTCTTCTTCAGAAGGAAAAAAACAATATTAAAAAGACATGTTTAAAACGCATAAATCTAAACTTTGTTAGTTTTAACTTTAAAAAAAAACGCTTGAAAAATAGAATATTTATCATAAAATTATTTTCCTTTACATTTATTTTTAACCCTGAATTCACGACTTAACCTTATTAAAATCCATAAAATGCGGCGTTAAAGTCCACATCATTTTATCTGGTAGTACTAATGTTTCATTTACAACTGTTTTATTGTTTAGAGTAGCATCTAAAGAATCCAAAAGATCACAGAAAACTGAGTTTGGTATAACATCAAAGTGGTTGACGCGTTGACCTATTTTTACGAGATTCGATCGCTATTTTCGGTGTTAACATGAGCAGAAACTTAGATATTTCAACGCAAAAAAATAACCAGACGTATAGGAATAAAAAAAAGCAACGATCAAAGTACACAAGATGATCTTTACAAAATGTTTCAGTAAAGAGAAAAATGGACAAGTTTCAAAATGAACTCAATAAAATTTAGATCACCATCTTCAAGATCCAAGACAATACATTCAACACATTAAGCACTTCTTTAAGCACATCAGCTGGATCTTAGATATTCTAGTACTGCTCTAAGCACTGCTTTATGCATGTCGGCTCGACTTTGTATATTCTGGTACTACTGTGAGCATATTGGGTACTACTGCATCTTGACCACTAATTTGAGCACGTCGGTTCGATCTTAAGTAACTTGGTACTATCCTAAGCACACTGGGTTCTAATGTATCTTGACCGCTAATTTGATAACGTTGGTTCGACCTTAAGTATCCTGGTACTATCCTAAGCACACTGGGCTCTAATGTATCTTGGCCACAGTTAAAACTCCTCGGTTCAGCCTGAAACATATTGATGTATCACAACTATTTCGTTATTTACTACCATGGCTGGTTTGTTTGAAGTTAAGTACAAGTTACACAGTGGACTATCCGTTCTCTGCCAACCACGGGTATCGAAACCCGGTTTCTAGCGTTATGTGTCCGCAGACATACTGCTGTACCATTGGGGGGGGGGTAGTAATAAATTAAATACTTGTGAAACGTACAATTGTTTTTATTTTCCTCAGTTCTATAATAATGAAGTTTTATCAAGCACCGACTGCTTCAAGTATGAGCCTTGAATACAATTTTTAAAAGCTTTTTCTTTTCCATTTTTAGCAACAGCGAAACAGACTATTCTATGAGTGTTCCTATTCATCGCAGTGTTTTTAATATTTTTTTATCATGCATTATTTGCAGTGAATATCTCTGCTAATTATTGGCATCCAATCAACCACTACCAGAACTCATCGTGTTCTCAGGGGGCGGTCTGCTGATGTAATTATGTTCCAAGGTAGATTATGATCTTCTACTTTAGCCATCTGAGAAACGTAGGTTGACTACCGCCCCCTGCCAGTACAAATGGATAACATTCTACTCATTTCGTAAAGTTCATATTTGTAGAACCACTGATTCGTTTTGATTCAGAAAGTAAGCTTTCAACGCGTGGACGTAGGCGTGTGTGTGGGGAGAATAAAATCAATACACATTGAGGTGTTTGGTACTTTTTAAGGTTACTTTC